CAGGGTTAGGTGGGAGTGATGAAGCTGGGGAAGAACGAAATGGTGGTGGAATTTCAAGAACGGGTAGAGGATGATAGATTTCTGGACGTAAGAGATATGTGAAGTCTTTCTGGAGTGTTGAGACTGTTGATTGAAATGATGTGTTTTGTGATGGCGAGAGCGAAGTGGGAGCTGTCATGAAAGTGTTGGTTGATAAATTCGAACCAGGACTGGGCGACGGAAGCCTAGGTGTTCGGCTTCTTGGCGCCGGGCCGCCTGGTGAAAGTGTTCGTGTTTGTGTGGCATTGATGTAATTTGTAGGCGACAAGGGACTATTCAGAGGTGAACTATCTTAACTCAGTACTTGTTCTTATACATGGGAGTGATACGCACTCGTTGATATCTAACGGGCCTCTTGTCGGTCGTCTGGGTAAAGCTGCTATGCGATTAGTCAAGTGCTGCTTGTTTCGATCCATTATTGACTTATTATTCTGTGGATATAGATTAAATATCGAAGGTGTTGAGTTGCAGACACAGATAACCTCTAAACAAGGCACCTTTCATGGGGAGCCACGTGCCAAGGAGCCTCTACCGTATTCATGAAAGTCGCGCACTCGTGCGACTTCCAAGACAGCCAAAGATAGAAACGCGATTCTTCAGCTATCTATGAATTCTTCCACCTAGTAGGTAAAACCACATCATTTCATCCGAACTAATGACTGTAGCTCCCGTCTCGAAAGGTCCTCGTGGCAGTGGAGATTGCTTCGAACACTGGCCTGTTGCAATACGACAAAGAAGAAATCTTACCTCTCCCCGAAGAAGCTTGCCTAACATGTTTTTTCCCTCCCGACCCGGCTGATGAAGTACCTTCCATTTTGTGATCTGCTTTGATGATATTAGATATGAAGGACGACGAGCGAATCAATCAACATTATTAACGTTCTAGGTTTACCTATGCATTTCAACTGAGGTTTGCAACCGTGCACATAGTTTTAAAATCATTTTGCCCCTCTTTTTTTCTATCACCGACTTTAGAAAAGGACCTCATCATCTCCTTTATTGTATTGCTATGGAATTTTTATGATTCGTTTATCACATTAACTTGTAGAGTGTTTTTCATTTCATTTTTCTACTGCCCTAAAGGCATCGTTGCTACAACACGATATTCCGGAAAGCCCCTCCCTACTCTTTTACCTCCGGAACCATCATATGCCTCTGAGTATTGGACAAGAATTTATCCTACTTCACGCAAAATGATTTTGATTTTACTGATTATCCTTCGCACCTTCGATAGTTACTGATATTATGTACGCACTCTTTGACATTTCATTTTGGTCGCTGCGTCTTCCCGTTGTGATACACGTAGTGAGATCTGTTTGCGGAACAGCTCCTGGGAACTATACACCATGGAAAACAGGAATAGATCAGCCTAGTTAATGACATAGAAAGAGCACAGTCTATTGCAGAAGTCATGTAAGCTCTAGTAGACAATGTAAAAAATTCATGTTCGATTTCAAATCCGTCCATTAATTGACGTTCAGGCTTATAACACTTCTGCGATTTCATTCCTGTGAGATTGGATTCATTCATTACATAACGGCCATCGAAAATAATATCTATAACAAAAATGGGAATAAATTCTATAAAGGGTATTGGTACCGCAAGACGTTTTATCATCTCTAATAGTCAACTTTCATCTAAGCAACATTTCCACCTTCAACAACGAATACCGCACTTCCGCTACCAGGTTTGCTAACCACGATTGCCGCTTCCCTCTGCTCCTTGGACAAGTCTTTCTTTGAGTAATACTCCTTCTCCCAAGCCTCTTTAACCGCATCAACCTTATTCGCAGGTACCAAATGTACACTGCATCCACCCCATCCGGCACCAGTCAATCTACTTCCATAGCTGCCTGCTTTCTTTGCTATTTCACAAAGTTCGTCTAGTTCGGGACAACTACAGTCAAAGTCTTCTCTGCAGCTAGTTTGGGTTTCGTTCATTAGGTCACCAAGCTTTCGGTTGAAAGTTTCAGTGGAATCACCACCATCGGCATTGAGGTAGGATTCGGGATGTTCGAGAACTTTCATAAACTTTAGAACTCGAAGGGCTTCGGTGAAAACGTGAAGAGTTCTTTGGCGAAGCTTGAAATGTTCAGCGCGGACGGGGAATGTGGAAGTGAAGCGCTCGTTCAACTCAGGGACTGTCATGTTAATGACGGATGCAATTTCTTCTCTAGTGTATCCTTCTTCTTTTGTGAATGTTTTCTTTGTGATTTCAATAAGTTCCGAAAGTTGTTCTTCGAGTGGTGCAGTGGAATCTCCAAGATATTTGCTATGGAATCCGTGGAGCGAGACACCCAATGGTCCAGAGTCAGAAGGAAGGGGATCTTTAGATTTGTTGATGGCTGCGTGAAGATAAGCCGCGGCAAGACTGCATTCTACAACTCTCAAGTTGTAGCATACTGGACCAGTGACATGCTTATCTGCTGCAACAAATGATTGTGCAATAACGAATGTGAGCTCGGGATTTGTTTTGGGGAAGTGAACGGGCTTTGCAGTCAAGGTTGGATTGAAAGAGACATATAATGCTGAGCCACGAATGGAGAAGACGGATGCAGATTGATCCATTCCGCCCGAGTTGACACCGACTGCTCTTTCACTGACAATTGCTAATTCTGTGAGTTGCGTCTTGTCAACAGATTGCTCGCCATTAGCAAACATAACTGCAAGAGCAGAAGCTGTAGTGAAAGCAGCAGAACTACTCAATCCACCACCAGCAGGTACGGTCCCATCCATTAAAACTTCCATACTCTTGGGTTTGAAGCCGTCTCCATGCTTCTTTCTCAATAACTCTAGAGCACCCCGGAGTCCAGACTTCAAGTAATTTGTCCACTCATGTACCTTGGAATCGATCTCCACTGCATCGAATGGTATATCAAATTCATGTGCTGGGAACTTATCTGCCTGCACATTCGAAACTCGCACCTTGAATGTTGTACTAGTCGAAGCGGATTCGTCGATTTGGGTGGAAACTGCGAGTAAGGCATCTGCAGTTATGGCCATAGGTAGAACAGAGTACAAAGAGTAATCGATGTGCTCGCCGATGATGTTGACACGTCCTGGAGATCGTGAAACGAACTGCGCATCGTGTCCATAATTGCTCTTAAATTGCTTGAGAAGATTATCCCATCTCTTGGTTTGTGCAGTCAAGGCATCTTCGGTGTAGATGTCTTTGAGAGACTTTGCGACAGGTACAATGCCAGCCATTACGAACGAAACTTATCGAGAAGTAAGGGATCTGCGGGTAGGATAGCTGTCGGTATGAATTGCTGCGAATTTACGAGCTTGCGAGTCTGCGACTGTGTAGGTAGTAAATCTGCAAGGTCAAACGAAGATAAATGCTCAAACAGGAAGAAAGATCGAGTTGTAGAAAAGTACAATCACAAACCATCTGTCGGATCAAATCGTAGAGGGGCACGAGATCATAACATTCACCATCACATATCTAGTACCATTTAGGGCAATACCTAGGTACAAGAGGAAGGACCCCGCCAAATTCCCCGCTGTGCCCCGAAGCCTTCTCCAGGTTATTGGTGCGCCTCGTTCCGTCGTCCACTATTCATTTAGAGACGGAAAAACTTACCAGATTCCACTCGTATATGTGAATAAAAGCAAGCTTTACAGTGGAACATCAATCTGAGTGAAATTATATAACCTTACTCTAAGCCGCACATTCGGCTGGAACCGAGGAGAAAAGTTTGATACTTGAGCACTACCGGGGTAAAGATGTTGAGTACTAGGCAGGTATGTTGAGTAGAGCGAGTAAAGAAACATTTAATATTGATGCGAGGTATTTATAAGGTTACGGTAACCGATGTAGTCCAGCATGGCCAATCATATCTAACTGCCCTCCTGCCCAGGCGAAAGTGATGAGCTGATGAAGGGGCTTATAGTTATCCGATTGTATATGTAATATCGTTTTCCGTCATATTCATCATATCAAAACCGCATATCATGAATCTTCCCGTATCATAGGTATTCTTCATTCAACCCGTTCCATCTCGAATTATCCCCATCCCATCTTTCCCTCCTCAAATTCTCATTCACCCCACTAACCGGTTAACCCCCACCACTCCATTTCTCATTTCTCATTTCCCAATTCCCCAGCCAGCCAAACCATCCGAATTCCCCAGACAAATCCGACCGTACTCTCCGAACCCCCTTTCCCAATATTTTCGTACTTTCGTGATTTGGAGAAGAGCCAACTAATAGGAAGCAACAAAAGACTATTCGATTACTGAATCTGTATCTGTCCAATGTATTTCTTCGAAGATAATCTAATCTTTAGATATTGAAAATGTGTCTATGTATCCCATCGCCAAGTCCGAGAACAGGTAGGTAGATGTTCTGTTGTTTCCCAAACCATCACTCCAGCCAACGCACCACCAATATGGCATCGCCACAATGGCCTTTTCGACCAAAATGAGCGATCCTCGTAGGAGCGGATAACTTCGGCATTTATAGATGTGCAACAAAAAATCGCAAAGATCATTCTATTTGGTCCTTAAGGTTGCTTTGCGTGGCGAATGGCTATTTTAGGGATTGGCTGGTTACATCCCTTGTTGAAGAGTATCTAAAGGACTCAGAGATTCTTTCTCGGATGGGAAATTCAAATGTAGTGAGTAATCATGTTATTATATCTCCATCTCCTTGTATTTTGATGAAAAGCTATATATGTGAAATTTGAATTATGTTCTGATTTTCGATCCCCCATTTCTAGGTATCCAAAGATATCCTAAACTCCTTGATCTGTGTATGTCCATGTTGTTGAAGTAATATTTACATATACATTATGATATCCTAAATCGTTGTTCGCATGATACACATTTTTCCTTGCAGAATTCCAGTCGCAATTAAACCTGTCCCCCCAAACGCCTATCGACGCCTATATTATATGCCCGATTGTTGAGGGTATATCATGGAGTAAAAAATGGAAGCCCTGACGCCTACCTCTACATCAAATTAATGTCTGATTTCAGTTCCTCCTGCATTGTGGCTTTTTCTCGCTTGTCTCCAATTTAGAACCAGAACTTCATCTCCACTTCCTTCAGGTCCCTTTTTCAAGTACACCTGTCGAATCACATGTGTATTGACCACATAGCTATCCAGAAATTTCCAGCTAATTTTCTGTGCCTCGTTCAATTCTGGCCGTGTTGGTGACAGACTATGTTCAACATCGAGATTCTTGTCATCCCAAGTCACTTCTGTTCTCCTCAAGTCCACACTTCCATCAGTAATTGTCGTGTTACTCAAATCGCTCTTTGCCCCTCGCTCTAACGACCCCTTGGAATATTTCACGATGCTAAACCCATTGGTAAGGACGACATCGTTGTCAAACTGCCAACGCTGTAGGAAGCAATCGTCACACACATCTGATACTAGATGCATCTTATCCATCTCATATGGATATTTGGTCGCCGATCCTGCTTTCCAATGATGTAAAGATAATAATTTTCTTCCATTCTCATAAAATCCAGAATGATCTCCCGCGAAATCGATTTGCGAAAGTCCAGCTACTGTTGTAAGCTGAGCTTTAGAATGTTGATATATACAGTCCATCACAAGTGTATCTCCGGAAGTGAATCGCATATTATTTTTACACTCTTCATTGTTCTCATGGATGATCTTTGCCAGTGGCGTGGAGAGAAAGACGCCAGCCCCTCCAAATGCCATCAGTCCGTACATTCTCACCGCTGCCCAATTCTCGGACAATCCACCAATATATTGAGGCTGCGTATGGTCGTGAAGAGCAAGCTCATCTAGTAGCCCACGCATGGAAGGGAAGAATGTGTCGTCGTCCATAACCACAGTCCATTTTGTTTTCTTATTGCGAGCCTTGTACATAAGATCTATCAGAGAAAAATATCTTTGATTGAAAAAGTCCTCTTTCTTGACGGGTGGTATTATTGTGATGTCCATGCCTGCTTTGCGATATTCTTTCTGAAGTCGAGCCATTTCAGATTTGGATGCCAATACCTCTTCGCTTTCTTTGACTATTGCGATCAAACGAGCTCCACTGTTGGGCAGCCATCGTGCTAGGTGCATCTTTGTGTCCCGAAGACGCTTTATTGTGGTCTGTAGACCAAATATCATGTGCGAAGCGTCGATTTTCCGAATTGGAGGATAAGGAACTTCAAGAGTGAGTGGGGAACAATGGTCGACGGCTCTATCAATAGAAAGCTCTGCGCGCTCGAAGATTTCAGGGCTGTCAAACAAGGACGCTTTCATCACGGTGACTGACGGTCTCTCTCCATGATTAGGTTTCGCAATAATATCTCGCTGGGCAACTTTCAAAGGGTATGATAAGTTGTACCTTCCCAACCACTCAAAGTTTTCTGTGACATTACAATCAGATGGCGAATTGATTCCGGCTAAATCACCTGTCCAATCCTCGTCGGCCAATTCGTATCCAAACCCATCCCCAAGTATTGCTGGTGATCCAAAATATGATGTCACATTAAGTGTACCATGGCGGCCAAACAATATCAGTGCGGGAACGATTATCGAAGACGCAGCCAAAATAATAGCCAAGCGGATGGTTTTCCTGGATTTCATGGCTCGATTGACTGAAAATAGGTGCAAAGAGATCAACGACAAACCCCAGAGCGAAGGAAAACAAAATACCAAAGAAAGGGTGGGCAAGAAATGAATGAGAATCAAGTAAAAGCTAGGTAAAAGCTAGAATATCCACTAAGGCGATAGTAGATAGACTTGCAACCTTATCAACAATATATTTGGGGTAGATAAGAGAAAAAGATCTTGAGGGGCGTATTGGTGGTGTGGTACACATGCCAACATCCCAGAATGAAAGAAATTGCAAGAAATTTCCAACCGATCTCCTATTTATTAAGATCGTTTGAGATAGTCAGTGATTTTATTTGTTAATGCTTTGTTTCCAGAAAATTGGCGACGGTACCATGTGCGCCATAACACTGGAAGACAATGCTACCGGTCCACGCCTATCAGTTGCAGTAGCACATGAACACGACGGAACGTTTTCGACATCACCAAATCATGGCATACCGATACATTTCACTCGAAAAGATCTCGATTCGACGTGACCCTGTGAGCCTGCCTTGTTTTCATTTTACGTTGGTGATACCGGTAATACCAAATTCATATGCGTACCAAGAGAGAGCTCTTTACTGGTTCGCATTGATTGAAGATCCACTGTGAAATTTCGAAATGCCTACCAACCTAGTAGATCTGGAGCTATAATCAATAAAGATCTAAGCGATACTCTAGAGTGAGCCTCCCCCTGTTTTCTTTGATGAACCACATTATGCATAGAAGTGAGAAAGAAGGCATAACGAATGTCAAATGTGATAGTGATAGCTCTGAAATTTGATGTAAGAAGAAGGAAAGAAGAGAAAGTAAGATTGTAGTGAAGAAAACGTGAAGTTTGAATACGAGATAGCCAGCTAGTATATATACTCCGTAAAGAATATGCCGGGTGAGATTCTTCGGCTTTTAAACCTCCGAGACATATCAGAGAAAAGCAAGGGGATCCGGCCTTCTAATCCTCAAATTGGTCTGAAGCGACAAGGCTGAGAATTTAATGTGGCTAGTAAAGGTCAATATGTGTGGCGTCATCAACAAACCGAGGATGCATCTTCATACAACGGGAAGGCTACCTAATTTCACTTATTGTCACACAAGCTTCTTTCCTCAATACCGACACCTACATTGACATTCCCTCAGGATTTTCCGTTATTTATTTTTTGTCTCAGCAATGCGATAATACCCGTCTGTCTACTTTCCTTAATCACTGCGATCAGTAAACCATTCTCGAATTTCCACAATGGAATCAGCATATCCCAACCCCGGCTTTCAAAAAGCGCAAGATAGAAGTGACCCAGAACACCCTGAGCAATCGAATCATGAATCTCTGCCAGTCCCAACGACCGCTAGCAATTCTCCCGAAACTCCCATGCCCATAGTTGAAGAATCAAACGAAGCTCATGTTTTAAATCAACCTCAATCTAACAACTCTACCCAGTCCAACGATGCACAAGATAATAAAGTACCTTCTCCGGAGAGGGAAATACAGACCTGTTGGATATGCCAGATGGACGATACTGACGACGGGCCTCAAGCTTCACCGTGGCGATCACCGTGTCCTTGTTCTTTGCGAGCACACGAATCTTGTTTAATGGAATGGATAGCAGTATCTGCAGACAAGGAAATGGCACCCAAGATTGTCTGTCCAGTTTGCAAGTATCAACTCAAAATAGACCAGCCTAAAGATTATCTCGTCTTGACGGTCGATAAAATACGACGTATGGCGGAGACAATGGTACTTCCCACGGCCGCCGGCGCATTATTCAGTTGCTTTTACTCTGGATCTCTTCTGTTTGGTGTTAACAGCCTGGCTTTAGTATTTGGCGCAGATGAAGCCCGCGAGATGATTTTGACGCATTACGACGACTTCATAGACCGTCCTGTTCTTGGTGGTAGCATACACTTACCCATGAGACAAATGTTAACCAAATATTTATTTCCATTTCTCGGAGGCGGGTTCATGACCGTACCAAGTTGGAGGGCAACAATAGGGCTGCCATTGATTGCGCCAACCCTCCTATTATCACGGACAAGAATTGCGGATTCAGTTTTCAGTATAGTACCTGTTACTGTAGGTTGAGAATCCCTAGTTGCACCTAATTGGCAAAGTATGATTGAAGTCTCCGTTTGCTAACATGGCTCAAGTATTTTCTCTTTAGCCCGGACAGCAAGAGCATCACCTCCTGGCCTCCATCCCCGGGTCGCGCGTTCGTACTTGTTCCCTATGTCAGATTGGCATACAACACCCTCTACCGTCACATGTTTTCCGACTTGGAAAAAAGGTGGGATTTGGCTGTCCAGCGCAAACCACGAGAAGGCGAAACTGCAGAACAAATCGCTGCGGAACAACGCAGGGGAGGAGAAGGCGATGGATTCTTAGCATTGGAAATGGAGATGGAGATCATTGATGAAGTAATGGACGAAGACGGAAATTTGGTGCCCCAAGATGGTGCACCTCTGGGTGATCGCAATCAGAATCAAGGTGGCGGGCAAGGCGAAAACGGCAATCAAAACAATATGGGGGTCCGTCGAAATATTAGTACACACAGCTTGTCATTCCAGTTTATGGGCGCAGTGCTATTTCCTGCGATATCAAGCATAATGGGCGATGCACTCAAATACGCATTGCCATCTATATGGGTGAAGGCGAGATGGGGAGGAAAGCCAGGCCTATTACAACAGAAATGGGCCAGAAGTTTAGTTGGAGGATGCCTATTTGTAGTTTTGAAAGACGTGGTCGTGTTGTATTGTAAATGGAAGAAAGCGAGGAATTTTGGGAAGAAAAAGGTCCTGGAATTTGGAGGGAAAGGGAAAGGAAAGGCTGCGTGAAAAATAGGGTACATTAGTGCGTGGATATAGTGAGCATAGTGGGGGATACATTCCAATCGAGGATGGAACGTTGTGGATAGGAAAAACCTCATCTCCTCGCAGAAGAACGCATTGAGGCAGTTCAAAGTGTAATTTTATGACCATTGGAATCACGTCCAATGAATGGATATGGTTGAATTTCAAGACAAATGAAGGCACTATTACATGCATATTATAACACATGCCCATGCCATCTAATTCGCCATTTCCACTACTACCAAAAATGGGAGCTATCAAGTATGTGCAATCTGGGGGGCTTTGATTCTGAGACAATTATACCACCTGCTTAAGCAATAGCATTATCCTCGTGATTCCCCGGATCCTCAATTAAAGATTCTCTATTCCCAAATTCCCTGTCTGCATCCCCAATATATCTCAATACCCATCCATCACCTCATGCGCCTCAAGTAACCGAAGATAAACGCCTAAAACTCGTCAACACGAATTCCACGACATCACCCGAACCCCAGAGCAATCACCAGGAAGAAGAGAAGGAAGAGAAAACATACCAGCAACATTCCATCTCACATCCGCCTCCTCGAATCCCTTCCTCACGAGAACCACAATATCGTGGGAAGATGGATCTTTAGATCTTATTTGTTCAACACACATATGGTAACCGAAAAACAACGCCCATAGGGACATGCTTCTGGGATCGCGTCCTAGGAGAGAACGGGGTGTTGACGTGTTTGCGATGATTCGTTGGGTTATGCGTTGGAGGAGTTGGGCTTTGCGTTCAGCGCGGTGCTGGTCTAGAGGGGATGGAGGATTTGATGGATGCGGAGAGAGAGATGATGTGTGTAGGGCTAAAAGGGTGCTGAGTGGAGAGTTAGTCGGAGATGTATGGCTGGGACAGGGGGAAAAAATGGAAAATAGAGATGAAAAACATACCTGTATATAAACGCAATGCGATCGCAATCCGGATTTTCTACATTCACTGAAGCCTCAAGCATAGAGGTTACTGTCCGATCTAATTGCATCCATAACTCATCATCATGAGATGAATCGCCAGAAACGTGGTTGAGCACTTGACCCAATAATCTAGCAGCTTGACATAGCAGAGCAAATTTACTCATGTGGCTTGTGGTTGGAGAGGATAAGGTAGAGTAACTGGAGGAATTGATGATCTGGTAGGAGAGTCAGAAGTAAGTTAAGATAGTTGGTGATTGCGTCTGAGAATATATCACTTACACCTTTGTTCCATGCTTCGTCGTCGCATGGTAATGTATCATCTAGGTTTGGCTCTGAGGTTGCGAAGGGTCTACCTGGTGATCCTATGCTAACAAAACTGTGATGATGGTCAGTCCTAACTATAAGCAGGTTCGAAGGATAGGTCTTGATTTGTAGGTTCTGAAAATGAAATCATCGGAGAGGAGATCACTGACCGATCCAGAATGACAATAGCCCACCAAACTCTTCTTCTGAAGCATTGGAATGTCAGTAATGATCTACCAAAAAAATCATAGGGAGTAACACGAAGAGATGAATGTGGATACAATAGTTAGATCTAGGGTTTGAATAAGATAAGATGCTCATGCAAAGTTGAACGTTAAAGAATGCAAAGCATGATGAATGAGCAGATGATACTGACCTCTCCTCCATCTCCAACATCGTAAGAACCCTCCTTAAATTTAGCCGCTTATTACAATTTATCCCCAGAGCATATGCATACCGCGCACATGCTCCGATAGAAAGATACGCAGCAGGATAAATACCATGACCCATCTCATACAATGCGATCAGGATTTCTGCTTGGAGAATGGGAAGAGAAAGGACACTGGAGGTTTCTACTTCAAGGCAATAATGTTTTACGGCTTGATATAGCGAAGTTTGAGGATTCCGTGGATTTGTGGGAGGTAGTGTAGTTATTAGTTTTATTGAGAGGAGAAGGAGAATGGTTTCTGGACGGTTAGGAATGGTCGTGTGAGATGGTAGAAGATAGCTGTAGAAACGGAGCTTGGAGATAAATGGCATCCATGTGTGGTCCTGGGAGAAGAACTCGGTAGCACACATGTGGATAGAAGTGATGTCTCCTAGTAGATGAAAAATATGTGCTGGGATACAAGTACACGGCTGGGGTATGTCAATTTGTCCTTGCTGTAAGATGTATGGATCCAGAAACAACATTGCTGAGTAATTGATCGATTGTGTATCAAAACTATCATAGTTCACTGGTATCTGGATATTATTCCATGGTTGCGTAGAGGTTAAGGTAGATGTATGTACATAATCGCGGGTCTGTTCTGGCGTAGAGTATTCGCATATTAGATCTCTCCTGAAATAATACTGTTAACGTCACAAAAGAACAATCGGAAAACAGATGTATTGTCTTACATCAAGCATCCCGTACATTGTGGAAGTAATCTATCGCATTTCTTCTTCCGCATCCTGCATGAAATGCATACTTGCTCCGACGTCCGTGCCTGGTCGGCGCTCGACCCATCACTGGGTGTTTGCATGGTGGGGAGGATATTCCAAGGAAAACTATTGTCCTACAATGATTTCGGGGTATAATGAAAGTGAATGCAGAAAACAATGTTTCGTTAACCCAAGGCGATGCGAAGGGAAGTGAGTTGTGGAGTGGGTGCGCCGCCATTGTTGATCCACACTGTTGGGGAAGAAGTGTTCGGCTGGCGGCGCACGGGCGCCGCTGAGCAGGCGCCGCTTATGCATGCCATCCTAGCGAACCCAATCAGCAAGAGCGAGACTCAGGGGCTCCATCGTGTAAGGTAAGTGTGACTGTGAAACTTAAATATAAGTATAGAGCTATGGAGCATGTATTTTCCCTCATCTCTTCATCAGCGCCTTTGCTCTTTCCTCTTCTCCCTCCACCAATAATTTCAGATCCTACACACTTTCCACCATGAATCGTTACGCTGCATCTCACATCATTCCCCAAGGCCCCGGAGATTCTCGACCAACTGCACTTCAGATTATCCAGGACGAATCGTTGATCGGTAAACTGACCGGAAAAGTAATAGTCCTCACTGGTTCAGCCTCCGGCATTGGTCTCGAAACGGCGAGAGCCTTGTCTGTCACAGGTGCTACATTATTCCTCACTGTCCGTGACATAAAGAAGGCTGAAACTTCTCTTGATGGGATCTTAGAGCCCGGTCGTGTTACACTTGTAGAGATGGACAATGCTTCTTTTGTAAGTATCAAAACTGCTGCAGCGGTTATCCTCGAGAAATCGGGTAATCAGCTCAATATACTTATCAACAACGCTGGTGTTATGGGCATTAAAGATCTCCAACTTACCGAAGACGGGCATGAAATCACCTTCGCTACCAATCATCTCAGTCACTTTCTTCTATTCCAACTTCTTAAACCTGCCTTACTCCTTAGCTCCAGTCCAGAATTTCATTCCCGCGTGGTAGATGTTTCCTCCGCCAGCCACCGAATATGCGATCTTCCTGACAGCGACAACTATAACTTTCAAAAGGGAGGTTATAACTACGGAACTGCATACGCGAATTCGAAACTCGCAAATATATACATGGCCAATGAATTAGATCGTCGCTATGGTCAGCAGGGATTACATGCAACAAGTCTCCACCCTGGTCCTATCGACACGAATATTAATAGACACTTGGACAGGGAATGGGCGGCTCAAGTTATGAGCAATGAGAAAGTTCGTAAAGTCCTGAAAAGTCCTGAGCAAGGAGCTGCAACAACTGTTATTGCGGCGGTTGGCAAGGAGTGGGAGCGAAAGGGGGGGAAGTATCTGGAGAATTGTGGTGAAGCGGAACGGGGAAAGGATGACTACCAGATTTTCGGAAATGGATGGGTGAAACAAACATATCATCCAGAAGACGAAGGACGATTGTGGAGAGATTCATTGAAGATTTTCGGGTTCGAGGACGATATGTGAGGAATGAACAGTTCGGATTTATTGTAATCTAGTCATATAAATTAGTAAACTCGATATCGTTGGTGAAAATATCACTTCTATCGAGTCAAACAGATTCAATTTCATATACCATCAACATAAAACAAGAAACTTGTTGTGAAAATTACGTTGATTCAGATCGACTGATTCTTGTAATACTAGGACTAATTACATTTAGATTCCCAGAAGCCACTCCCTTGGGCTCGTATACATTAATAGTAGACATTAGACATTATTGATATAGCCAGATTTAAAACAGTGCTTTTGTCGCAAAGATCGCTTTCAGAGATTGGCGTTTATCTCTCCCTCTTTCATAGCTATTCCAATGGCCATTAGTTGTCCAATATCATCTCACACTCTAGTCCTACACGAATATAATCGGCTGGAGAAGCGCGAGATGAAGCAACAGGACGTCCCCTAGCTACCGCCTCTGCCGCCTTAGCTGCTCTTGCCGCCTTTGCTGCCTCTACATTTTTGGTCTTCTGAATCTTAATAGCTTCCTGTATCTTAGCCTTCAACGCAAAACTCTCCTCTGACTTTGTCTCAAGCTCAGTCTCGATGAACTCCACATTCAAGTAGGGACAAGTCTCAATAAGAGCTGAAGCAGGAAAATAAGTTTTGAATTTGAAAGTCTGGCTCTTCCCCTTTTGCTTTCGCCCGTCTTCAGAGATGGGAGCGTGGTGGTCTTTGATGAATTGAGACGTATAGTGGACAGGCAAACTATCCTCAATCCTATCCCCATTGGGCAGAGTTTTGCGCGTTTTTTCCAAAAAAGTTCCAATTAGGTCGCTAGTTCCTTCCCGATCCATATTTTCGGCTTTGTCTCTGACATCTTTTGGTTGGCTCTGCAACCATATGTACTGAGCATCGTCAACTGGAACCTTAGGCTTAGTGCCCCTAAAAGACAAAGTCTTCTTATTTGCTGGTCTAACCAAGGTATAGACTTTATGAGATCTATATGGCTCAGGTTTGAATTCAACACTGTAGTCACGTCCCTGTGCATCTGTTAGATGCCCCATATTGGCCGCATTTCTCTGACCCCCCGAGGTTATTCCTGTATTATTTTGGCTCGCAGCGGCGTCGTTGGCTTCAGCGTTCGAGGGTTGGGCTGTAAGACTTTCGTTGGCGGTGTTGTTGGTTGTTTCAATCTTCTTCTCGGCAGAACGTTTCCTTGCGCGGGTCATTCTCATTCCACTTAAGTCGTCGGCATCCGGAATGATTTTATTCCCATCCAAACCGTCGTTGAATTGACCGGCATTCTTTTTGAGTTTCTTTGCCGAGTGCGAGGTTCCGGCTTGGTGAGATTCATCATTGTCCGACTCTCGTTTCTTGGACTTGGTGTTTGAGATAGCGTTCTTTGCTGAGTGTGATGCTTTGACTTGATGAGGTTCATCAAGATCCATATTTTCCTTGAGTTTATTGGACTCGTCATTTCTCGTAACCGTTAATTGTAAGGTATCAGGAACACCTGAACTTGCGGCTGCTGTAGATGATTCGGAAACCGGGTCCATGGTTGTCAAGGTTTGATTGGAATAAGAGCCGTTTGTAGCTAGGCTGGATAAAGTGAAACTTGGTGTTCGAGATGGTGTAAATATGCCCCGGGAGCTTTTCGAAAGGGAAGGTTGTGATGATGAATCGATAGACTCGGAGTCTGCTGTGTTAGATCCTGCAGCTGGACTTGGAGAAGTGCCTTTTGACGACAGCGGTGACAACATCTTGGAATGCTGCGAGGAAGAGGGGATTGGTAACATGATTGGCAGCGTATGATATGTCTCTTGGTTACTCGTAGTTGTTTTATTATTTGTAGTTGTTCTGCTAATTCAGGTTGTTGCTTTTTTCCGAGGTGGTTATGTTATTCGTGTTTGTTTTATTATTCGAGGTGACTATTTCATTCGCAGTTGTTCGAGGTGATTATGTCATTCGTTGTGCTAGTCGGTGTTTTTATGCTATCCGTATCTCACTCGGGGCTATTGTGTGGCTCTGGTGTTGGTTCTGTATCGTATTGGTATAGAAAAAGGGTAGCGGTGATGTATTTGAGGACTGAATGAAGCACGAAGATGCTTCTAGATAGAAACACAACTTGCAGATATATTGTAGTTCGGATCGTTCAATGGTAAAACGAGTGTTTTTTGTGTAGATGAAGATGAATAGAGTAGAAGCGGTGCTCTAAATTGGAGGTGCTGCCTACAATGAAGTTGTAAAGATAGATTTGTACCAGATGTGATCGAGACCAGGTCCTCGTTGTCTTCCTGGTGTATGATCTGATATTCACGAAAAGTCCTGCAAATTCGCAATGAAGGGCAGAATCTGATACTGAGAGAAAGGTTTCCAGTGATTATTGAAGTGTGAAGTAGAAATTTTTGGGAGTCTGGTCTTGCAATGTGCGCTGCGCTAGTTAACGAGCCGATTAATACCTAAGTGACAAAGTGGACAGATTCATTAGTATTCTAGGGTAACTCCGACAAACCTCAAAATGAAGAATACTCACATTTTAGACGTCATTTGGGGTTTTCACTGATCATACGTAGTGAGTGGGGGAGCTTGGATAGGTCATGGTCGCGAAGGAACAGATCACGAGGTGAAGTTTTAAGGCGATTATGTATAAAATGTGTATTATTGATTTGTCTTATACTGAAGATAAGATGAAGGGACTTGTGGTAGAATGCTTATAGTACCCAGACATGCAAAACAAGCAACAACAAATTGTAGAAGTACCGTACAACGAACGAGTATAATTCTATAATCTATTGATGGTACTCTGTATTTTCCGAAGTGCTCAAAGTCTCTTCATCGGCAATCTCGACAGCCTTTAATCTATATCATCACCATCACCATCACATCATCATCATTTCATTGATCGGCAAAAGGTCTGAGCTTCAAACTGAATAAGAAGTGGCATGCCCAGCCATGCGAAGAAGACCATACATTAAAGGTGCTGAGTTTTTGTCATTATATAACAACATGAACATCGTTGCAAATAAGACTTTCTATGCGAATAACATCCAAGAGCTTGTTACAAGAGCCTGTAACAAATTCTGTTCTAAAAAAAAATGGGTTGGAAGACCGACTTCTTGATATAATTAATTGGTATTGAATGTAGAAAAGAGCGTATTCCTTTTTCTTCTTCGCCAAAACCTGGAGTATGGGGCATGCATTAGCGAAACTGGCCTTGATGCCTTATCAATACTGTAATGACATACGTTTCCAAAATCAAGCATCGGTGAACTGCATGTCTGAAATGAATGAAAGAGTAGCTAATTTCTTCAGCTACCGTGGTAATTTTATTAAACGCTGTATAAAGTACAACAGGTGGCTGGTGAACACCGGATAATTGCCTTGAAAAATTCAGTGATCTATTGAAAAACCTGATCAGTGACGATCTTTAAGAAGCAAATATCGGCGACAATCTAAAAGTCCAACGAAGGCTTAGAACGATAGATCTAGTGTACGAACAAGATGGCACATATATAAGAAGACTGCGCTCGCTTTTTTAAGAACAGTTCCTTCTTCGTCGCTCCCCATAATTGACTATTTTTGTTTTCTACCAATAATCTAATACCTCAATAATAGCGTCCTAAAGAGCATTTCAAGCCCTGACATTAATATAATCTGAAATATAGACATTCTATATACACGGCAAGAGTATCCCTAATCTCTTGACAAGATGGCCGTGGAATGTAACGCAACCAAATCATACAAACAGAGAACAAAGCCATCAGTCATTGAGACAATCCTCATCAATATGACAGATAGCCAACTTTATTTTACGACAAAGTTTTGAGAAGAAAAAAACTATCATCGCCGAGGCAGGAGCTTCCTTTACCTTCGATCACATAACCACCGGACGCTGCGCAATGAAATCTACGAAAACACGACTAGTAACCATCAGTCATTGCGAACGACACCAAACCCTTTTTTTGCTGAAGAGGAAGAGGCCATGGAACTTTTAAGTCGCTAATGACAAAGGGGGGGAAGGGGTGAAGGGGTGAAGGGGGAGAAAATCACGTGGCTACGCAGCTCTGCCAAGCATCTGGCATTTGTTTACACTCCTGATCAAATGTGTATAGTATTACACAGCTGCAAATAGTGCTCAACGGTTCTTCAACTGATTCGAGACGAAAAGCACGCTTGAATTACCTCGGTCGACTTGTCAAAACATAAAATAACAAGAATTGCGAAGCTTTCCCACTAGGGCGAAGTCACATGTTCTCAAATTCATGCGAGCAATCAATAAATGGTCCCATCCATTTGCGACGGGATAATTCTCGAGTCGGAGCGGGAAGAAAGTCTTCAGTTATGAGCTGACTGCAGGAAGCATGAAGACGTTGTTCCCCAAGCATTGTTTCGGGTAAGAAAGCCGAACTTATGCAGTATCACCAGAGAAGGAATGGGACACTTCGTCAGCTCATCGTCGATTCTTATTTGTTTTGAATGTTAATGGCTGGGTGGAGTGACTGCCATAAAGTTATTGCTGTCCCAGTATGGAGTACTCATGGGTGGCTCGAGTGGGTGGTACGCGACGAATGCTTTGTTTTGATTCCATTCCGCTTTGCATGGATTACCGCCAATATCGATAACCTTGCGAGAGTAAATGAAATCGAGTACCAGTACCTCGAGAATTCAATGCCGTGGTTGCACCATACACTTTTGGCCTGTATAACGGAACACAACGCGTCGATAAAACAATCTCTATTGCAGTAGCAGTATGCGGACACTCCACGCTGTACGAGTATTGTATGGCCAGGAATTCTCGAGGATACTTCCGTTTGCATCCTCTCCACAATCCTTATATCTTTTTAATGCCCTCACGATTCACGAATGATCGAATACGGAAAGCAATGCAGAATTGACAGCCATCAATCATCAGCCAGTGTTTGAGTGTTTGTCGGTTGGAGTTAACCTTTCATTATCGATATCAACGTTTCGTGTTTCGTGTTTCGTGTTTCGTCGCGTTTTGATCGCGGGGAGGTCCGTGAGCGGTTACAGTTACTTGGGTTACCACTTTAATAAACAATCCCAGCATCCTTGACCATCAACCATCATCCATCCACCACACACCACACACCGCACCTCCATCTTTTCTGCAAGAACACTTCATCTTTCTTTCGTGGCTGCATGATATGCTTGCATCTCCACCAGTCAGCCATAGTACGTACTGTCTTTACGGCGCCAACGATTCGATGGTAATTTTCCACGGGAGTCCCGGTGTCCGTTACTGTGGGATACTGCACGCTTTGGCAAGCATTGCCAAAATGGTCAGATGAGAGTCAATGTAAGATGTAAGATGCAAGTCCAGCTTGCAGCATCTCACGTTATTCAACAACCACATCAGTTTTCAGCCTAATGTGTGCGTCTCTTTTGAATCTAGATTGTTAGTTCTGGCAAGCCGGCTCAGGCCGGTACAGCTTAAGTTGGAAGTCCACAAATGTGCTCGGGTAGGTATCAAAAGAGCAGACTGGTGCGGATCTTGCGTCCTTTGCCTGCTTCGTACTGTGCTTACGCACGTGTACCTTCGAAATTGCGGTGAAGATAATCCTTATTTCGAATCGCAGAATTGGCTACATCAGAACCTAAGATGGACACGCCCAAACTACCCTGCATTCAAAATTCTGTAATAAATCGACCCTCAAATATTTCGAATCATTGTCTGGATACAAAATTCGTTAGATAATTAATATTCAAAAATTTTATCTTGATGATAAAATTTCTATTGCTATCGAAATCCAAAAGAAGGCATCCTTGAAAGGGTTATGATTTTAGCGATTTTAATTGAAGATAAAGTTCAATCTTGATATCAGAACTGCTGGGCTTGGGAATTCACTCCCTTCGATCTACAAGACAAGTGAATCTTTGGTTATATGAAGGTGGTGATAGTTATATGTTCTGCATCAGAATATCTCCAAAAAGGTGGTCACAAAGAAGGGTTTGTCACTTCTGAGAATAATCAGAGATAGGTCTATATGTTATCATTCCAAATAGGGTAATAATGCTAGATGATACTCGCTTCAATGTATGAAGTATGCTCTCTTGCAGCTTATCCAAGAGATAACTGCCTTTTCAAGCTCAGTCTGCTGGCCTTTCGAGGGTGAGAGATATCCCTATATGGGAGGGTTGGGATGCAGGCCCGCTGAACACCAAATAATCTAATGGAACTGAAGACATTGATTTCGTGGAGTGGGATCTATGTAAAGTGGTTCTTATGTACTCTGGATCTTGAGATTCTCAATCTCGTCTTTTTACTATTTAGGCTTTTCTTGCTTCTTCTGGTAAAGTTCTGAATTCTGAACACATGGTATTTCTTGATTTGTAGAGATGGAGTTGGGCTTGCATTATTTATAACCCGCTCTTGGGAAGTGTTCTGACCAAGGAAACGAACAATCATATTCCCGACGCTTTACAAGGACCTTCAAGAATAACAGACGTAAACAACATGCATATCCTGCATACTAAAATGCTGGTACCTCCTAACACTTCCTCTTTTGGACAAGCTCATGCATGTCTGACTTTTTCGAGGGCCCCGGTCGTCAATCTAAGGGCTGTCGGAAAGATATGCTTAAAGTGAGAAACGGCTCAACTGATCGGCTTCTCCACTTTGGGAGTTACTCTTGAGGTTATTTGGAGAGACTGAGAGCCAATAAAGCTATTGGAAGTTTCATTATCCAGTTTTGTTGCACATCTGAACAATTTCCGTATGAATTGATTTGAGAAGAAGGTATTTATTGAATCGGAGATTCAATTACGAGCTATTTCC